ACAGAACATAGTGTTGTTCGGGCCATATGAAAGAGGGTCTCTACAAACCCCCTAATCGCCCCGAACAACACTATGTTTTGTCCTTATAATAGTGGAGAAAACCTTTCCTGATTCATTTTTATACCTACACTTAAAAGTTAAATATCTCCCTCTAGGCAAGCCAACAGCAGCTAATATTTTAACCTTGTTAGTTTGGCGTTGAGAGCTTTCATTTGACCCGAACATGTGCCACTTTTTCGCTCATCAATACACACACCTCCATTGTTAGTGCTATTCACAACACAACCTGTAGTTCATTGTGAAATATTATAATGGCTTCTTCTTGAAAATTTAAATTAATAAATGCATCGATTCCAGAACGCAAGAAATATTACTGATTGATGTGACTCTTATTGAGTTACGTAGGAAAACAACTTTTATTGATTTATCGATATAGAATGAAATCATAACTTCTGCTTTATTGTTAAAATGTACGGGCTTATAATGTTAAGATCAATATACGTTGTCGACAAAAAAGCTTTCGACAAAATAAATTCGACAATGAGTCTGTCGACAACTTATATTTCGACAATGTATCTATCGACAAAATATATGTCGACAAAGTTTTGTCGACAATATGATTGTCGACAAAATGTTCTGTCGACGAATGATATGCAATTCGGCTATAACATATCAAAAATTCAGTCTGGGATCTCTTGCTTTGATAGAACATTCGTTCCTGACACTGAAATCTGATGACTGAAATTGTACACTTGTTTTTTTTCAAACTTGATTCCTTTCTCATGAAAAATTGCCTTCACAAAGTAATAGAAATAGACTACTTTGTAGAGAATTTCATTCTCTATCATTTGAGACATTCTGCGCCTGAAGTCGTCAAACAATGGGGGAGAAAATCGCAAAATACAGCGAGGATTGAAAAAATCGATTTTTAGGATATGATTCGAGAAGTCGAAAAAATGAAGTACCTGCTATTTTCGTATAAATAAATCAAAATGAGTTGATATTTTGGTTTCCTAAGTAATTTTTTATGGGCTTTCGAATGAGATGATCAAAGTCAAAATCTAAAATTTTTCCGCCACCCCAATTGTCAGTATTCTCGCGGACCCTGTCTTAAACATCGTCCAGTTGGCGTTCTACTATCGTTTTATAGCCACAGCGATGGTTTGTCACTGCCAAAATCACTTTTCTTTTGGTAAAATTTGCTTTGTTGGTCCAACTACACTGAGGAGTAGAAGTAAATATTTCAATGAAAAAAAAAAAGGTGTCGTAAAAATGTTTGGAACATACATAAGTTGCCTTCGTTTTTTATGCTGATTCAGAATATAGTATTGGCATTGATCAAATCGTCACTTTTGTGACCTTAAATATGGTAGAAATCAAGAAACAAAAAAGCATCAATTCATATCATGTTTTAACTAGCTTGTTTTTAATCAAAATACATTCTCTTGATAATAAAAATGTTTCTGAATATAAGTTCGATGGTTTTACATAGAACAGATCCAACCATGTTATCGTTCGAAAAAAAAGAATCCTTTATTCCTTTACTTTATCTTAAAAAAATCACTGATAATTTTTTTTCATCCATTTTCTTTTCCGTTTTTTAAAGATAAAGGGTCATCCCTAGTTAAAAAAAAGAACCTCTTGCTTCTGATTGATATCATCTTTTTTCAGAATTTCACGGTCTTTAGAACATAACTAGTCTATCAATGGCATACAAGCAATTTTGCTTGATTTTAATTTCTCTAACACTTTACTTATTTATCAAATCACTTTGATTTTCTTTTTGTAATTTCATATTATGACATGCATCGAAAATAGTTCTGCCAGGGTATAACAAGTCGATCATACCATGAAGTATTGAGGAGTGTATAATTAAGTATTTTTTTTTTTGATACTATGTTCTTCATCAGTAACTTTCTTAGTTACAGATTAGTGTTCTGTAAGATTGATGTTAACATAGAATGGATAGCTTTGTATCTTAACATTGAATAAGAACATTTTTCAGGCAGATACATAAGAGAACTTTCATTATTTATAAGTGTATATTAAAATAAAAAATGATTTTGACTTTGATTTTGAGTTATATTTAGAGCGTGACAAAATAGACCATCTTTAAATATATCAAACTGCAATAATAACTTAGTATTACAAATATCTTTCTCAAATGCGTCTATTTATTATAGAATAAATCACATTTAAGATTTTTGCGCAGAGAAATAAACATAAATTAGAAGTTATAACTACGTAGATATGTTGAAAGTGATTGCTTTGTTTTGCACTGTCGATTTTTGTCAATCTTCATTTTTTATCATCAATGGTTGATTGATAACGCAGGTAAATAACGATAGAAAAGAGAAAAAATATGTTTTAATGTGATAGTAAGCATAAGAAACATAAGTATTAGGCGATTAAGAGTAAGAGCAAACATTTTTTGATGACGCATATTTTTTCATGAGGCATAAGACGTAAAAAAAAACAATTTTGTAAGCCAATTTTGAGTTCGTCAATACTAGATTCTTTAATCACTAGAGTTGATTTTCGTTTAAAAATTCCTCTTGTTTTTCTGTATTTGATAGGTTAGAAAAAAAACAGAAAAGATTTTCGAGATTTTTTTTCCACGACATAAACAATCGATTATAAAAAAAAATCTATGAAAGAATTAAATGAAAAAATAATATATCATAAATCATCAAAAACTAGGATGTACTTCACTACATATACTATCCAATATAGTTCTAATATCGGACCAATATTCAAGATTTTTAATCTTAATACATGTCAGTCAAATTCTCATTCTCAAGTATAACATAGATGCAAATCTTGCTGCTTCTTCTATTTGGTTTCATTTCAATACATTTATATGTCACTGCTGATGATACTGTCATCGTTTATCCATCATCTAACAATCAACAAAGTTTACAACAAATAATAAACTCTATTTTCACTAATGTAACTATATTGATAAAATCTGGTGTCTATACAGAAACGGCTATTATTGAAAAATACATTGTTAATTTAATTACTTACGACTCGACTCAAGTTGTTGAGTTTCGACAATTGACAAACAATACCATTTTATCATATCGAAATGGTGGTGGTGGTCAAGTACAAGGAATATTGTTTACTGGAAAAAATGGAACAGGTATTAGTGGTTCTCGGAATAGTCAAGAAGGACTTCCTGGAAAAATGAGTATTATCAATTGTGTCTTTCAAGATATTGGAAATGGCATAATTAATCAATTTTCTCGCATGTCGCTTGTTAATGTTACTGTTAATCGAGCACAATGGCTTTCTATTGATTTGCAAGGTCGTATGAATGATCCAGGCACGACTATTCAGGATATTGTCGTTTTAGACAGTGGGAATGGATTTACTATACATGATGTCAATTGTGCTAATACAATTCTTTGGAATATTGTATGTCGTAATAATAAAAATGGTGGCCTCATTATTTATAATACATTGGATGGTCCATTGACAATAGCTGAAAGTACATTTGTAAATAATGGTATTGCTAATGTTTTTATTTCCAATTCATATTCAGTAATTGTTCGCGATAGTCTCATTACAAATGCACAACCGAAATCTGGTACCAATGACTATGGTGATGGATTTGTAGCAATGAAGAACAAGGAACCAATCGAATTACGTACAAGTACTGTATTCAATAATTATCGTTCTGGTGCGAGCGTATGGGGTGGTATATTGACATTAACAAATAATCAATTTCGTGGCAATGCATTCGATTTGAACTATGAAACTGTAGATGGTATACCAGGAAGTTTTGATGGTTCATCAGGAAATATTTGTTATGATGATCCTCATGGTACAAATGAATGTCATTCTTTGTCATCATCACCAGAACCTCCTCCACCTCTACATCCGTAAGGTTCATCATAGAAAGCAAGCGATGAATTATTATTAACTTCTACAGAACTTAATATTATTCTCTTTTGACTTTTATTTTCATTTTCAATGTACAAAGTAAAATTTCAAAAAAAAAAATGACTAATAAAATAATATATGTGACATAAAACAATACCTGATAACTAACTTTGAATTTGATATATCGCATAGAGTTCAATTTGTTGTATTAGAATTACAAATCGATGATGTTTGCTTGAAAACTTTAGGCAATTTCTTTATTACATAAATAAAATCTATCATCTACTGTTCTACTTCCTAGACTGAAAGGATAAAGTCTAGAAATGAAAAGAACGGGAGCATATAAGCAATGGAAAATAGGAACATAAGGATTCGTTGACAATTCTTTCTAGAAAAGTGAGACGAATTTTGTTAAAGCAAATTCAAGCAAAACTAAGCATTTTGAAACTTGTTTTGAAGCGAAAATATATATAAAATATCATATAGATCTTTTCGAGTCTTTGATACGTTTTAAGTGTATTCATAGTGGTTCAATATTTGATCAAAATAGATAAGTTTTTGAAATTATTGAAAGATCAATTTATCTTCATTAGAAAGAACATTTAATTCTGAACAGAGACTATTATTTTTTTTACGAACTATCGAGGTCATCAATAACACTACTTTTCTATTGAGTATCCTATTGAACATGATTTTATAGCATATCATCTAACATAATTTTGATTCGTTTGAATTTTTTTCCATGTGAGACACTTTCGTTTATATATCGTTCGATAGAATGAAGAAATGGCTACAAACTGGTATATAATTCATTTAGTTTCAAGTGTGGCTCAGTATCAAAAATACTCGAAAACTGTTCTCGATATAAAAAAATTCATTATTTTCCTATACTAAATGAATATATTTTTTTTGTTAATTATTTTTACAAAAAAAAATAATAATTAATACAATTTTTCTTTCAAAATAATATTCTACAATTCGTAAACTTATGCTTATTCAATTTATGAAGAAGATAATCAATAGTTTCTGATGTTAAAATAATAATATATTGATGTATTTCTGTGAGTGTTAAAACATCCACACAAATCTATGTTAGAAACTTTTATTTTGTTGTTAAATTTTATTTATTTACCATATATACTCGATCATTTGGTACTTTACAAGATGCTATACTAGTATTCTTAGTAATATCAAGTGAAAATTTTTCTGACCAAATCGTTGTATTATTTTCGTTATCAATATCATAAAGACGAAGTTGTCCCTGTGTCTAATAATCAAGAAAGTCTTTCTTTTATTTTATATTTAATAATTACTTTTTTGTTTGGTTCACTTTCAAAATTTTCTAGACAAAATAAAAGTGGTGTCTCAGTTATTTCAATAAATGTACGATTATTTTCAATCTATTCAAAATAAATAAAGAATATATAATAGAAAAAACAAAATTCTTTACTTGAAGTTCAAGTTGTAATTCTGTACGATTAATAATCCAAAATCGTGAATATAAGAATAAACGATATGATTCATGCAATGTATCAACACGTAAAATCATATTCTATTTCAATACAAATTATTATTAGATGTTTTATTTTTATTATTTACCAATGTTTGTTTAGGATTAGAAGTAGTAGAATCGTGAAAGATAATAAAATGTTCATTATAATGACAATTCTGTTCAACTTTTAAATCGATTGATTCTGAGATCCATTTAATTTTGTGATAAGATGGAATCTAAATATTCGAAACGACATTTTATTTCCAAGAATAAAAAAAGACAAAGTAATTTACTAGGAAAATTAATGTGGAATATTTATCGCCAAATGCAATTTCATTTAGTTGGCTTGGTTTTATATCAACTTGTTCGACATTCTAAATAAATAAAATAATGAATTTTTAGTTTTTTCAGATCAATAAAGCAAGAGAAAAGTGCTTATAAGACCTTATATCATGTGCATTTTTCTCCGAAAAATTATAGATTTTCTCAAGCTGAAATATTTTAAACTAGCAATACAAATGAAAATTAAAACTATGACGAATTCTTTGATTGAATATATGATATAAATTATTAAATAAAAAGTTGACATGAATACTAATAATATTTTCTATCGTTAGTTATTTCTAATTTCACATCCAAAGAATTAAAATAAGACTTTTCACTTACATCAAATAAACATTGAATATCAATTGGTAATAGATTAGTTATATGAAGAACTGGATGAAGATAAAGATCAACACTAGTTTCATTAAGTTGATCATCATTTTCCGAATTACATTCAAATGAATCTTTATAAGCCTAAATATCCAAATGATTAAAATTTAATTTTAATGAAAACCTATGC